AGTTAATATCAGGAACAATAGTAACATGTCTGAGTAGTTAGTATGAGGTCATTTCAGATTACTTCTTTTGTGGAAGGATTAGAGAAAGGGAATTTTATTAAAATGCTGATTGCAACGGGCCTGTTTGGAAAACTAGGCTGTCATCACTCCTGATTTCTCTGAAAGCCAAATAACAACTTAGTTCATCTCAGTGATGTGGAGACATGTGTGACTCCATTTTGATTTTTAGTCTGGTCTGTTGGTCCAGAACAGCAACCTATCCTATGATTTTTATTTAAGAGTTTCCAAGCAGGAGAACTTGAGACAGGGATTTAGGCCCATCTAATTCATGTAGGAAGAACTCTCAGGAGACAGGAAGTGAGGAAAACATGGCAGGGCAGGGGACAGAGATATGTAATTAGCTGGAGTCAGTTTCCACCTGATTCCAGAGGGATCCATCCCATGGGGCAAGAAGGTGGCCTTTTGTACTCAGGAGGCAGTCAGTCATTTACTGCAGGTTTTTCAAGGATGGAAGGGGTGCATAATTTCTAGGAGGAAGGAATTGGGTCTCTCATCCACAGAAAGCAATTCTTAGGAAGACAGAATAACTGTTAGCTGTTTGCAGACAACAATCCTGGCAGTGGCATGTTGTCAAGGGGATCCAGACAGGGCACCTACGGCACCTGCCACAGCTGCATTTTGCTGCGTTCTCGCGGTTGTGTTCTTTTCTGTGTCTGGATTTTACCTCCAGTATTTCTTCTCTCGAGGCTGCACGGCACCCACAGCAACCATCTGCAAAGCCTGCTTCCTTATTCTGATTGGAATAGTCTTATACTGTATTATTGCAATAGGGAATTGATTTGCAGCATCCTGATCTCTGACAGGTCTGGATCTCAAGAATATGCCAGGTCTTGGGCCTGATGTGTTTGTGTACAGCGTCCACGTGCTCTCCTCTTGACTCTCAAAGGGTTGGAGCATGCACAGACCAAGAGAGTCCAGTGAAATGATGCGCTCTGAGTTTTCAAGCCTAAGTTATAAAACGCTGCTTAACTTCTACCTTGTTTGCTGGGAGACTCACTGTTGGAATTCTGAACTGCAATGTCAAACTTCTGGCCATCCTGAGGTCACCCTAAGGGAGAGGCTGGAGAAGAAATCACAAGGAGAAGCCCTGAGACTACACCGAGAGAGCTGTCCGTGAGCCTGCGGGCCTTTGAGCCATCCTGTTCACGTGTCAGACTTGAAAGTCTCCAGAAAACTCCAGCCTCCACCTGTGCAAGTCAGCCCTGCCTATTTGAATCTTCCCAGTTGAGCTTCCAGAAATAAGGAAGTGGAGTCAAGTCGTATTGGCTGTACTGACTGTAGGACGCGTGAGTGTAATGACGTCATCGTTGTTACACCAAGTTCTGACGTGGTTTGTGATGTAATAATAAACCATTGAACATTTTCTCAGTCATTGTCCATAAACCCCTGCATAATCTCAACTTGGACACGTGAAAACGAAGAGCCGCAGAATGGAGGTAATTTACAGTCCTACCACGGATGATAGTAGGTCCAGGATACGAACTCAGGTCTGCTGTAATGCGGAGGAATCTGTGTCCTTCCGACTGCAGTCGGCTGACGTCTGAGGGACGTGCCCATCAGCCTGCTGAATCCACAGGATGAAGGGGCAGAGAAACATGAGTCCCTGCTTTGGTGTGTGTGTGGCTCCAGGACGTCTGCTGGATGATCACTCATGGAGACCCTTACATTTGTTATTATCTGCTTCAGACATCTTAATTAAATACTTCAGAGGCACCCACCATGCAATCAAAACTCTAAGCTCTTTTCTCTCTCTGGAAAAAAAAAAAAAAGTAAGCTAAAATTCCTGTCCGTGGTTCAGAGTCCAGCTATTGATTTCTGCTTTTTTAAAAACTTATTTTCTTTCTGAGGGCGTGTGTTCCCCAACAAAAGAAGAATAAATAAAGGCACGTTAGTGCCACCTGAGTGAAAGAGGGAGGGGATATTAGAGAACCCCAATCAGAGGCTGGGTTGGTGGTTCAGTAGGAGAAGGGTTGAGGGACCTGAAGTTAAAACTTGTTTGAACTTGAAAAACCTTTTCTTGAGACTCCAGTGGAAGGTATTTTCATTTTCATAGGAAACTCTGCTCATCATATAGTTCAATAAGAATAAGGAAAGAAAATGTTAAGAGAGAGAAGATAAGAAAGCAGAGGAAGGCTGGGTTAATAGGAAACACTTCGTACCAGCCCTGCATCCTAGTGGTTGGGGAGTCAGATTCCACTTGGACAACTGCTGTTTGAATCTTGGCCCTAAGGGCTTGGAAAACATCCTGGCACATGTGCATGTGTACCCCAGATCCCACCAGGATGGACAATGAACTAGACGGGACTGTGGTATTACCATGCCCTGTTGTGGGGTGCTTTTCCCCTCTCTATGTCTCTTGTGGGCGCACTCATCCTTTGGCAAAGAAAAAAATACATCAGATATTTCATTAACTTATATATTAGATGGAAAAAGCTTTGATCTTTCAGTTTGGGTAAAGGAACTGAGGCCCAGATGCCCAGAAGGTGTTTCTGACTGAACGAGGCAGTGCCTGCAGAGAGGCCTTGGTTCTGTCTCTTAATCCCACACAACATTGTCTGTATATACTTATGCTCCATGTAGTTGCTCTGACTGGCATTTATTTTGCATAAACACGGGCCACATTGTTTCTGTGAGGCTATATTTACAGTAAGAGTGAGCAACAGGTCATTAGAGAGAGTGGGAAGTAGAGAAAAAGGGAATGCGACTTGTTTGAAAGGCAACACAGATACCATCTTTGCAGCAGAAATGGTTGAGCATCTGAACAGTCTATGCAGGGCTCCTATTAGATGACTTACAATTTACATAAAATATTTTAATCTTCACAATAATGTTCTGAGATCAGTCTTATCTCCATATTTATATGAAGCATTGATTTTTTTCTAAAAGGATTTTGCCATAAGGTGGCAGAGAGACTCAGAGAGAGTCAGAAAGAGACAGTGAGAGGGGAAGTGAGAAATCACTCTCTTGGGAGATGACCATGCTGCCATGCTGCAATCCCTTCTCCTCCTGGGATTTTGGGCAATCATACACACACCAGTGTGATTTTCAAGCTGCCGGGTCTGGGACTTGAACTGAGGTTCGACCAGTGGGAGTTCAGTGCCTTAACCACCCATATCACCTGCTGGCTCCAAAGCGTTGACTTTACCTCGGAAGTGGTAAAGCTCTATCCTAGAGCTCTTCATATCAGAGTTCATGTCCACCATGTCAGTGTTTCTCATGGTATATAGAAAGTGATTTTAGATAGTATTAAGATGGGGGGGGACTAGCAGTTAGCATAATGGCTATGTCGCTGGACTCCCATGTAGTCGACCACGGTTCGCATCCCGTACTCGGTGGCTTAAACTCACACCAGGCGTGTGTGCGTGCGTGCCAGAAATCCCAAGAGGAGAATGGAGGAGATGGGATTGTGGCATGGCCATCCCCCCTGGGGGGTGATTTCCCACTTTCTGTCTCTGTCTGTCTGACGAATGCACAGGCCCTATAGCAAAAACCTCTTAAAAAAAAAAAAAAAGATGGGCAAAATATTTCCCAATATTTGTGTTTATTTTAGTGTACTTTAGAGAAATAACATAACAGGCACAAAAAACCCAAATATTGAAGGATATTATAATATTTCTTATAATAGGAATAAAGTATGTGTTTATTTTTTTAAAAAATATATATTTAATTTTATTTATTATTATTTTTCAATTTGACTAGAGAGCGAGGGAAATGAGAAAGCAAGCCACCAGGACCAGGACTGGAGTTGGTCATGTGGGAGTCCAGTTCCTTAACCACCACACCATCTGCTGGCCCTCTGTATTTATGAATTTCAAAAGTGGGTAGAATTTGAGAAGAATATTTACTAAATAATCACATAAATAAATTTAAAAAGTAAAGTGGTTATGTAATGATTTAAATTTGGAAAACTCTGCTTTTATAATATTTATTTGTTATTTGAGCATTTCAAAAGGATTTGTGCAGGTTTGCACAGGTAAGGTGTGATTTTAAAACTATATCAATGCTACTAGGTTTAGCATATGCTGTTAAAGAAAAGTGTCATTCCTTTCAAAAGTTCTATTTAATTTAGGAGGGATCTACTCTCGTATATTCATGGACAGTTACTCACAGATGAGAAACACTTTCATTTATTTATCTTTTCAATGGGCCATCTTGATCACCTGAAATATTGCAGGAATTAATTAATGCACATTCCTTGCCTTCCAGAAGCTCATATCTATTCAGAGAGACAGTCATCACATTTACTCATGACGTACACAGTTATTCGTAGACAAAGTACTGCGGGATTAATCAAGGAGAGAATTATGAATGGGCCTCTGGGAAAACATCATGATAGAGAAATTTCTACCACAGATAATAAGTTGGCACCAAATTCAGTTCAAATGCAGGGCAGTTGAAAGCCTACTATTAATACTTGCATCTGATAAATCATAGAAATATAGTCTGAGTAGAGGCAGGGTATTATAATATGAAAGACCTAACATTATTACCACCCAAAGCTGATTCTTTTTTTTTTTTTTTAATTTCCAGGGAGTGCGTGTGCTTGTCAGAGAGAGAGAGAGAGAGACAAAAGGGGGGGGAGAGCACTACCCAGCAGGGTTTGGTCATGCCACAATCCTTTCTGTGGGGAAATTAGGCATGTAAGTGCATGAGCTTGATGTGTTTTTCAAGCCATTGTGACCAGGATTTGAACTGTGGTGGATCGTATGGGATTTGGCTCCCTTAATTACTAAGCTAAGGTGCCCCATCCTTGATCTTATTCTAATACCACACTGCTTTATAAAATAAAATTATTTTTAGTAATAACCTTGAAGTAAAAAGATTAATAATAAAAATATCCAAAATAGAAACACAGAGTAATGAATTAATACTTTTTTAAGTGCTTTAGTATTTTCTTTAAAGAAGAGGAGAATATGTGTACCATAATATTGGTTACTTACAGTAAAGTGTGATAATATTTAGTTTGCTCTCAAGGCTTCATAGCTTTCAATTTGTTGATGATTTCATCAAAATTCATCTCCTTCGTATATTCCTGAATAAAAGAGAGTGGCTAGATTTTAAAATTCCGATTCACCTATAGATCACCAAGGAACATACTTAGTTCATTTTATTGGTTTATTACTCATTTTCATTTTAAAAAGTCTCATCTCACATATGCAACAGATGCAGAAATAGTTATGAAACATCTTAAACATAAGGATACATGTAGCAAAGATTATACAAATTGCAATTTATAATAAATCCCAGAGAAGTTAACTACCTACCCATATTTTCGTTTCTTGAACATGTGATTAATTCTGGAGGCTTTAAAAGTCTCAGCAATTTAAAAATTACAAACACAAATGACCGGCCATAGCATGTCAGAATTAAACTCACACAGGCTCTGTTTCTTGTCTTTGCAATCAGTGTGCTCTCACTGTTTATTTCAAAGCTACTGTTTAAACACAGGATGACATGGACAGTATAACAGGAGTCAGAAACAGGTATTTAGCCTCAAGCAAGCTCAGAGGATTCCAAACTGCTACAAACTTCCTCTGAAAGCAAGTTTATACGGTTGAATCCAGGTGTTCTGCGTCAGACTGTTCCACTGAGGATTTTCTCAGTTCATTTTCATGTAAAATACAGGATTTATTGAAGTAGAAATAATAAAATATGCTAATTTGGTGCTTACGCAAACAAAGAGACTTCAAAAGGTTAGGGGGAAAAATGGAATTAGGGTATGAGTTTATTCTGATGCAAATATTTTTGATATTTATGCATGGCTTTTTCATAATACTCATGAAATGCTTGAAAACGCCTTGTATATTATTAAAACTAAACTCTAACCACAGTGATTGTTTAAGACTTAAGCCAATGACATATTTTAATTTTTAGAGAGGACTCTCTCTTCATCACTGACATTATCCAGATTGGCTAGTGCATGGTATTAATAGAAGTGGAGTGACTTTGAGCCAGTTTTATTACTCTGTTACATTTCTGTAGGTACTACAGTTATCATGTTGAAGACACATCTCTATTTATTTGTTGCCAGAGGGTGTTATGCCTACCAGAGAGAGAAAGAGAGAGAAAAAGGGGGAAAGAAAATACAGCCTCCATAGGGGAGGGCCATGTTGCAATTCCTTCATTCCCCTACCCCTCTGGATTTTGGGCACCCATGCACATGTGTCTGGGATGCTTTTCAAATCCTCTGGTCCAGGACCCAAGCCTTGAAGTCCATCATGTGGAATCCAGCTGTCCCAACCACCAAGCTATGGAGCTGTCCTGATCACTGTCATGGCCGTATTACTCATTTTCATTTTAAAAAGTCTCATCTCACATATGCAACAGATGCAGAAATAGTTATGAAACATCTTAAACATAAGGATACATGTAGCAAAGATTATACAAATTGCAATTTATAATAAATCCCAGAGAAGTTAACTACCTACCCATATTTTCGTTTCTTGAACATGTGATTAATTCTGGAGGCTTTAAAAGTCTCAGCAATTTAAAAATTACAAACACAAATGACCGGCCATAGCATGTCAGAATTAAACTCACACAGGCTCTGTTTCTTGTCTTTGCAATCAGTGTGCTCTCACTGTTTATTTCAAAGCTACTGTTTAAACACAGGATGACATGGACAGTATAACAGGAGTCAGAAACAGGTATTTAGCCTCAAGCAAGCTCAGAGGATTCCAAACTGCTACAAACTTCCTCTGAAAGCAAGTTTATACGGTTGAATCCAGGTGTTCTGCGTCAGACTGTTCCACTGAGGATTTTCTCAGTTCATTTTCATGTAAAATACAGGATTTATTGAAGTAGAAATAATAAAATATGCTAATTTGGTGCTTACGCAAACAAAGAGACTTCAAAAGGTTAGGGGGAAAAATGGAATTAGGGTATGAGTTTATTCTGATGCAAATATTTTTGATATTTATGCATGGCTTTTTCATAATACTCATGAAATGCTTGAAAACGCCTTGCATATTATTAAAACTAAACTCTAACCACAGTGATTGTTTAAGACTTAAGCCAATGACATATTTTAATTTTTAGAGAGGACTCTCTCTTCATCACTGACATTATCCAGATTGGCTAGTGCATGGTATTAATAGAAGTGGAGTGACTTTGAGCCAGTTTTATTACTCTGTTACATTTCTGTAGGTACTACAGTTATCATGTTGAAGACACATCTCTATTTATTTGTTGCCAGAGGGTGTTATGCCTACCAGAGAGAGAAAGAGAGAGAAAAAGGGGGAAAGAAAATACAGCCTCCATAGGGGAGGGCCATGTTGCAATTCCTTCATTCCCCTACCCCTCTGGATTTTGGGCACCCATGCACATGTGTCTGGGATGCTTTTCAAATCCTCTGGTCCAGGACCCAAGCCTTGAAGTCCATCATGTGGAATCCAGCTGTCCCAACCACCAAGCTATGGAGCTGTCCTGACCACTGTCATGGCCGCACGCTTGACATGCCACTGTGGTTGGAGACTCTGAGTTAGATGGTAGAGCTAAATCATGGCTGAGAATTTGGTCTTGACTTTGCATTAAGGTCAATAATGTTCTTAATAATAGTAACAAGAAGCCTCTAATCCTCGGTATGACATTCTAAATTTAGTGGGAGAAAGCAGAAGCATAACCAGGTAAGGAATTCTGCCCACACACCTCACTCTCTGGATTCTCACTTGTGTTTGGAATGTCACCATGTTTTCCTTAGCAAAGGGGAGTCTGACATACTGTATTCCAGTTACCTGAACCCCACTGAGTGGTCAGCCGGCTCCTGTCTTGACTTACAACTTTCCACATCCTGTCCAAAGCAGGCAGTATCTGCTCCACTCTTTGTTAAATCACTTTTTAAAAAATAACTATTTATTTATTCTTATTATTCAGTTTGACCACAGAGAGACAGAGAAAGAGGGAGAGTGAGAAAGCAAGCCTCCAGGTCTGGGACTCAAACCATGGTTGCCCACATGGGAGTCCAGTGCCTTCACCACCACACCACCTGCTGGCCCTGCATCTACTCCACTCTATTCTTACCAGTCATTGCCATATACAGGCTCAGCATTGCTAGATATTTTGATTTCTCTGGAAAGATCAATTAGCTTAATTTTTTAAAATGTCTCTTGTTTTTTGAATAATGCATTTTAGAAAGTTAAAGCCTGCAGAAGCCAAATAGCACATATCTATAGGTCAATTTACAGTCTATGGCACTGTGACCTTTCTTACCCTTTGGGTTTCCATAGTAATTTTATCTTTCTAGAAAAGAAGAAGCCTCTCTTTTCGGGCAGAGCATCCAAAAAACAAAAAACAAAAACAATGGTTTCTAGCCCAATGCCAAGCTCACAGCCTGACCTTTCATAGGCCACTGTTGGTTTGGTCCAAATCTGTTTAATCCATCCAGATCACATCCCCCAGGCTGGAAGAAAAAGGAGGATTATCTTTTGTCAACCATCTCCATTGTACATCATGTCTCTAAGGTCTATTTGGGACTAGAGTGGTTCTTTCTATTAAGATAGAAATATAAATGAAAATGAAACAGAAGCTTCCAAAGTGCACAGACAAAATGAAAGTACAGAACCTTTACGTGATAATGAGCCTCTTCCACCTTGATGGTGAAAGACTGAACGGAGGCAAGAGCCATCTGCACCATCAGTTTATTATGTGCTCACCCCCCTTTCTGCTGCCAACATTTCCAGTGTAATTGGCTTGATGAGTTAGTTACGACCACCATGTTATTTTGTAAAGAATTATTTATTTAATTTTTATTCATTCATTCATTCATTATTTTAATTTGACCAGAGAGAGAGAAAGAGAGAGAGAGAGAGAGGGAAAGTGAGAAAGGAAGCCACCAGGTCTGGGGACTTGAACCGTGGTCAGCCATGTGGGAGTGTTCAGAGGCTTAACCACCATAGCACCTGCTGGCCCCCATAAACCTGTTTTTTTATTGCTGTTTTACCTGCAATTATCTGCAGCTCACTGCACATTTTTGTTCTTTTTCTTCCCTCATTGCCTTGATATTTTTTCAGAATACACAAAATAGTAATATTATTTTAAGGGGGTCCTTTAAAGGACTTTTAAAGATTAACAAAATGACAAGTAACTGGAATTAAGAAAGAAAGAGGAAAGGGAAGCAGGGGACCAGGAGTTGGTGAAGACTGAGGAAAGGAAGCCTGAACAGAATTATTATTTATGTTAGGCCTTAATCAAAACTGTTGCTTTGATTATCATCTCCTCTATGACAGAAATCCATGGTTTCATTCCTTTGTTTGATGTCCCCATTGCAATGAGAGAGGGAACTGATTTAAATATAATACTATTTCCAAGAAATTATGAAAATATACTGAAAGTCCATGTGTGAGAATTCTCTCATTCCCAATTTTCCATGTCATAAAAGGCATTTTTGATGCATAATGTATGCATTTGCATCGTTTGTTATGAACAATGAGAATAGAAAGCTCTCTAAATTATAAATTAAATCTTTTCAGAAGAGGATTAAAAACGATCTTATAAACAGGCGTTTTTAGTGTGAAAGGATAAGCTTTAACTCTAAATTGAAAATCAATACCATATAAAAACTAATGCAAGAGCATTTAATTAATCTACGGTTTATTCTTTGGCATTTCAATAAACAAAAAGGAATTGTAATTTACTTAGGACTAGACTTTTTTGTTTAATTTCCAGGGACAATTACATTAACTGAGAGGGTAATTATTAGTGCAAAGGAATGCCTCTGGATCCGTTGCAATCACAAGAACAATGTTGAAAATCTCCATGCTTGAAATCTAATCTGTTTCACACTACTGTGATCTAATAAAAGAGTACCTGAGTTCCCACCATTTACAAAGTTCTTGCATTTGTTTATGTTTGCCTATTTTGTTTTGATTTTTAATTCTTGGGCAAAATTAAGTCTATATCAAGCATTTAAAACAATTATTCTAAAATATTGTCTGACTTATGAAAGAAAAGAGAAATTCCTTTTCGTGACCAACAAATTATTTATATATTATATATATATATATATATATACACACACACACACACACACACACA